GGGGGGGGGGCGCCATGCAGGGGTGCGAGAAAGCCGCGGCTCCGGCACCCTCGAGTCCTGCTCCTGGGTTCCACTGTAAGACTCGACCTTCTGTTCAGGTCCCTGCTCCTCTTTCGGCCGCTTTCCAGTCCCCGCCATGAGTCAGGGACACCCCCGGGTCCCTCCCCTTGTGCAAGTTTGACTGTCGTGTCGCACATTACCGTGATTCTGTGCACAGGAGGGATGCTTAAAGATGGAGTTTCTGCTCCTGTCTAAGTCCTTTCAACCGCTTGGAGGATTCTGCACAGTAGTTCTTCTGAAGCCTCTTGCCCAGGAACACTCTACCCCCCCAGTTAGGGGACAGGCTACACTTTAATGCATGGGTTTCTTCAAGGCATCCGCGATAGCATATGTTCAGGTTTCCCCACTGTAATTTCGGAGGTTTCTCTCTAAGTCCCTGTGAACGTTCAGTGCTCTGCTCGTGTCCCCTTTTCTCTGCTGAATTGATGGCCACTGAACTGTATGGGCCTCATTTGTTCTGGACCATGTGTTTGTGTAGTTCATTTGAAATTATGCCGGCGATGTAGCGGATGATTTATTTTTTCTTCCCCCCCCAAAGGCGAGAGTGATCCTCTGCTCATAACCAACCTGCATCCATTTCAAACTTGCAGCAGAACTCCTGTTGCTCCTGTTGCACAGCGATGCAGGAGCCCTTTCCCTGAGCGTGGGAGTTCTCTCTCTCTCTCTTTCTCACCTCCCGTTCGTTATTGAGTTTTTGTCCAATGGCGATGAGGCTGTGCAATATGAAGCACCGCCTCTCAGACTTTGGGCCTATTAGGGTGCAGCCCAGCTGCAAATCGAATCGCTTTGTCACATCGCTTGACACTTGGTAGAGTGCAGTTGAGTGAAACACTTGTGTGCACAGTACGTCTCACGACAACTACAATGAGCAATTGGAAATCTACAAATATAACAGGGTGGCCTCCGTATTCTGAAGCCATATAGAAACGGAAAAGGCCTTTTATATCACCACGTGATTTCTGGAGAAGGAGTCTGCGGTTGATTTGAGCTGAGCTGACCCCTTTGTTGAATGACGATCACAGTACATAACCTTATGCTCCCAGGGCAGGCTGTAAGGAACCACAGATCAAGCCCACTTCTGTGTACGGAAGCAGTTCTGTAGCTGTCGTTAAACCAGCGAATTTCCTTGAGTCATCCGCGCAGCCCACATCTGTGATGTAACACTGGACGACGTAACATCACCGTGTGTGGCACTCCTGCCCGCCGTAACTGAGACTGACCGTCACCATGTTGCGTACTGAGCAGATGCAGTCTCCGGACTTTCGCCAGTGCGCTTAGCACCGTGCCCACCCCCCACTCCAACAGACGTGAATGGGGTCAAATTTAACAAGTACTTGAGTGGCAGGTCATTAAAATTACAGTATTATTGCTTCCCCCTGAGGCAGAGTGGTTAAGGGTAACTCCCTGCATGCAGACGCAAGGTCCTACAGCCCAGATAACAGTTTAAATCCAGACGGTGTCTTTTACTGATTGTCACTGGGAGCTTCTTACAGCAAAATAGATTGGATTCGTTCCGCTGAGGGAAGGGGAGGTAATCGGCTGGGAATCATTCCCTGGTGGCTCAGTCCATTGGATGCATTGGCACCGCTGTGCTATTGGCGGCTGGAGGTGAGGGTTGTGCCTCCCCACCTACCAAGTGCTCAACCCTCTTGCTAATAAGAGAAACTGGAAAAGGTGGAGGAGCCGGCAGTGATGTGAATGATGAGACATCCGCCGTCCAGTGATCCGACAGGAGGCTTTTGTTCAACCAATGGCACGTACAGAGTTAGAGATCACTGCAAATGGAATCTGAACTGAGGAGAGAGAGAGCGAGATAGATAGATAGATAGATAGATAGATAGATATATATATATATATATATAAATAAAAATGTGAAGTAACATTTACACTGTCTTTAGCAACTTTCACAGCTAACAGGTACTCCTATGGCTGAATGTTTTGTGTTTCGGTCAGAGCTGCAGAAATGACCGTCCTGGCATCTGAGTCTCCTGCCCTTTGATCCTCTCCCCCTTTAATCAGGCCCCGGCATCTGTGGGCTTCACTGGGGTTGTCTGTTCTGCTGACCCAGTTTGATATCCCCGCGCGTCCTTTCGTGCGACAGCATGGAAGGTGTTCCTGACTGCTCTCGCCTGTGCGGAGTGAGATCGATGTGCTTTGGTCCTGTGTCAGGCCCTCAGGCATTCTTTTAATATTAATTAAGCTCTATAGGTTCACCAAACGGCCATTCATTCCTCTCCTATAACCGCTTATTCATCACAGGCTCATGGGGAGCCTGACACTCCTCTCGGGAAACACAGCGCATGAGGCAGGGGATGCCAGTCCCATAAGACTGTACATTTTATATTGTTTTAAAGATTTGCCCATAATTATCACTATATTGTTATACAGTATTCAACAAAGTTATTGTACTTTATACTAATCTCATCCCTTAAACACCTGGCTGACAGCGTGCCCACAAACGCGACACACTGACTTTGTGTGCAGTTCTCAGGAATCTGCAACCAGTTGTGATTGAGTCTTGCGGGGTTCAGACGACGAGCAGTAGCAGAATCTCCGCACGCGGTGCCGGCTATGGCTCCCCGCCTGCTAATCCATCTGAGCAAATGGCCGTACCCCTCAAACATCTTTAGTCTTTTTCAGGAAAAGCTTCGGTAGACACGTCCTGTGCAAACATCCTCGATAGTGCTACCGCTAAATATCGGACTGCGGATTGTCAATGTGAAACCAGTAGGCGCATAAACTAATAAAGTACTTGGGAAAGTATCTAGACTCGAAACAAGGTCCCCACTGAAACCAAGGGAGGTAGATTGACCCACAGAGACTAGAACCTACTGAAGCTGGTCCTCTGAGACCAAGAAGCGGTAAAACACAGGACCCAGACCTATATCTAGTGAGATGGACCTGGACCCCCACTGAGGTGAGATCCAGAGGATGAAGCCACAGGCCCCCAGACAGCGGCCCAGTCACGTGACTTCCTCCACACCGCATGCTAGCCGTCATTCAGATACTAACAAGCAACCAAATGGAGACATCTTCATCGTAACAGGAGCAAACGTCTTCTCAGTCAGCTTGTCGTCAGCCTGAACGATTCGGTATTTGTGGCACGCTGCCTGTCTTCAGACCATTTCCAGACGTATAGTTTTCTGTGTTTCTCCAAGCCGAAATCATTACACTGAACTAGTGTTTTCTGCAAAAAAAACTGCTTAAACTGAAGCAGCGATATCATTGGGTAATAAATTTGGGATTTGAGGTGCTTTTATAATGGTGTTTGGATAGTGAGATTCCATCCATCAGAGGCCAACCATCTGTTATCGAGGACGTATCTTGTGCAAATTACAAGCGTAGGGGGAACACAAATGCTGTTTTGCGGATGTTTTATTACTGGTTGTAGCCGTTGTCAGACATAATGAGGAGGATTCTCTCTGGAACGCGTTTGCCAGGCTGGGACTTGAGAAGCAGCCTGTGAGACGTTTAGGGGGGCTGTTTGCCTTGGGGGGGGGGAGGGTAATGCCAGTTCACAGTTCAGAATCCCCAGATTTAATTACTGGAGCGGTGAAGCCCTCGGAGCAGGCAGTAATGTGGCCCCCCTCCCCTGGAGACGGGCTGGCCGCTTTATCAAAAGGGCCCGGTGCTGGCACGCAGACGGAGCGCAGACGCAGCCGT